CAGCAGAGCATCTGAAACAAATGTTCCTTTAGCTTACTCTTAAATGTCATTAAAACTCTGCCCGAACATTACTAAATGGCAAAAGCAGTAGCTACACCATGTGACATGATGCACAGTTAATAATATGCACTGGGCCTCCATTCAAGAAAATATTTAAAACGCATGACTAACAGACACATCAGCAATCACTTATTGAGACTACTCATATGATTAAAGATAGGATGTGCATGACTAAATCACTCAATCCTATAAAACTCATCAGGCTAGCGTGGCTTATGCCAGTTTCTATAGCAAGCATATGTGGATGACATTCAAGTCTGGCCACTTCTAACTTGATACCCATTTACAGATGGGTCAAATGGGCGTTCCCTTTAGTGCAAGTCCAGAGCAGGGCTAAAACTTATACCTCCAAAGCTATAAAGAGATGCCTTAGACACACTGCCACCATGCCCCCACAAGTGGAGATGGATTCCTAAAAAAAATTAAAATGGATTTACTGTCTGCTTTGTCTCTCAAAATTAAAACACTTCCATATTCCACAACCACACACACAAAAACAATGAATTTCTAAATGAATAATTTAGTTTAAATCAAATAGGAAAAGAACTTTAATAAATGTCAATCTGACCATGAAATTCAGCCTATTTGGTTTAGCTATATAAAAAAGGAGTACTCTAAGACAATTTCTAGTTTTTGTTGAATAATTATGCTAGACTTTAAATAAATCTAAAGTCATTATAATGTGCTTTATAATTTATATGCCAAGTATTTGCTATGCACATCTTGTGCTGTATGTTTGTCTGTTGAAAAATAATACAGATCAAACCCATTAAAAGAAAAGAAAAAAATACTTAACAGCATGTATAACAAATCTTTGGGAAGCAACCAAATAGATCACTGAAGCCTACTCTAATCTCAGAGATAAGGAGATTAGGAAACAGGATATTCAAATCACATTTGGATAAAAACTGAAGTTTATGGCTGACCATTAAGAGATTTTCTGTAAAATTCCAGATTCAATGAAGGACTTAAGTCAGGGGTGGGCAATTATGGTTGGAGGGCCACTTAAGGAGTTTTGGTCAGCTGCTGAGGGCCAGGGGTGAGGAAAGGGGAAGAAAAGATGCCAGTTGATCCTACCCAGCCCATGGTTTCCTGCCATAAGTCTGAGGAAGGAGGGCTGAGCCCTGCACTGCTCTGCCGCAGCGAGGGCCGGGCCAGAGAGCATGCAGACTCCTCCACCCCCACCCCTTCCCCACATCCATTACCCCCAGCTTCCTGTTGGTGCTGTGCAGTCCTGGCACCATCGTAGCTGGCATCTGGGCCCACACAGGACATGCTGAGTAGTCATCCTGCCTGCTGCAATAAGCTACTGCCACTGCCACACTGAGAAAGTCAGGGGCAGCTGCCCTGGGCCAAGCTCCTACTATGGCCAGCATGGACTAGTGATGCCAGTGGCTCATCGCAGCAGGTGGGTGGTCAGGAGGGACGGCTACTTGGCACACTGCATCGCGTCGTTCCATGCAGGCCCAGCTGCTGGCAGCTGCAGTGCCAACAGGAAGCCAGGTGGAGGTTGGGGAAATGGATGTGGGTACAGGCGGAGGAGGAGTTTGTACACTGCACGGCCTGGTCCAGTCCCAGCTGTAGCAGAACGAAGCAGCACAGCCTTCCCTCCTCAGACTCCTGGCGGTGGCCAGTGGGCTGGATAGGTTCAATTGGTGGGTTAGATACAGCCTATGGGCCATATTTTGCCCACCCCTGACTTAAGTGCAAGTTGGGGACTACACCTATTTTTGAAGATTATTACATTTGTCTATACCACAATTTTGTGCAGGGCTTCAAGATGATGGTAGGAGGACCAATATAAAACCTCCCCAGAGAGTCAATCAAGTTTTATACAAACTCGATAGCATGCTTGTTTTACAAGCTCCAGTCAAAAGAATCATCAGCCATTTGTGCCTAGTACAAAAGTAGAAGAGTTCACCTGAAGCATATTGATTATTCTGAGTTACATATTTAAGTAAAGATTTTGGGTATTACGTATTTTGGGTTG